CCCGGAGGCAGCGCCGCGACACCTTGGCACCATCTCTCTGGTTTCGGGACCTAGGTCTGCTCCTACATGGGGCGGGAGCCCTCCCTGCCCTCCTCCGACAGGGCTCGGGGCCCTCCCCGCGCGCCTGCCTTTCGCTGAGCACAAGGGGAAGAGCTGGGACAAATCGCTGAACGCAGCTAATGCCAGAATTAGCTGCCCAGGACCTCTTCGCTGCACCGCAACCGCAACTCGGACGCAGGCTAAGCTGTAACTGACGATGTATCACGGATTCTCGTACAGAGCAAAAACACAGCCAACGATGTTCACGGTACAGTCCTCCCAAAATTCATCCAATCCTCTGAAATTCAAACGTTTACCCCACCTGTGCATGTCTCTACAGCCCAATTTCAGCATAATTAAAAACCCAAGAATTCCTCATAATCACACTCAATTAGATGTATCCTTAAATGCATCTTTCCAGTAATTTTTAAAGGCAGCAATCTAGATTGTGCAAATTACGAGTACCAACATTACTCCATAGCAGACACCCCAAATTTCTTACTGTATTCTGCCAGTGATCAGTTGAACAAAAAGAGTTTGCTTTCCAAAAAAGCATTTCCCCTGGTCACACAGAGCTTTTTCCTTTAATGTCCATCTTGATGCCAGCTTCAGGTGGCTTGTTCATTTGCTCTTCTGTAAAAGTGATATAGGAATACACCAGGCTTCCAGCAATACTGCAAAACACGTTTTTAGGTACAAGAATGAACGGACGCACACAAACATCAAAACTCCAGCTGTTAGTAAAAAACAGTATTCTGCATATTCCAATGCATTTACAAGCAGCGTCCCTTCTGTTTTTAACGGTATAAACCGAGCCTCAAGAGCCTGGTGAAGAGGCAGGTCTGAAGCAAGGCTTCTGCACCAGGATGCTTACTGCAGCCTGCTCGGTCGGCCTGCCAGACCCTATTAATAGCCAGACACTTCCAAAACACTGGTTGCCAAAGACGAGTCAAACACATGGGAGGACCAACCAACGGTCCAGTGTCAGCTGCAAGCTTCAATTTGCTAGAAAATTCTAAGTTTTCCTCCTAAGACCATACGCTTTGTTTAATTCACAGCCAAGTGCTTAATATTCTGAGTTCCTATTATATTACTGGATGTGCTCCATCACTAAAATCATCCTGAAGAACATGGGAAGAATAAGGAAACTTTTCAACACAGAAATACACACCAGTACAGAAAGGAGACTGTCCTAAAAACTGTACTGAAATAAAAAATAGTAGGAATAATAAAAAGTATTTTCTTTTGCTACCTTCAATTATATGGTTCAAACATGCAACTTGGAAAACAGCCCAAGGTTGCTGCTAAAACATGCTTGCACGTTCTCCTGGCTTTAAAACAGCACCAAGTCTGTTTGGAAGCGTCAGGTAATTTGAGCTGCAAACACAGAGCCTGAGCAGAGCTAAAAGCAGCGCTCGGATTCACTGGAGCCCAGGGAAACTTGGCCAGCGTTGCACCAGCTTTCCTCTGCGGTGGCACCGACACCAAGCAGCCCCCCGGCACCAACGGGGTGTTTGCCGAGCGCACTCCTGAGAGCACCCCAGGAAAAGCTCTGCACATTTGCCTTTTTCAAAAGTTACATTGAGAAACGTGCGATCATTTATCCTGCAGAAGCACTGCCGTTTCAGCAGTAAAAATGCAAAAACAAAAAGGAGCCTTCCTCCCCCGCAGCCTCTAAGTGCCATACAGGAAGCAACTTTCCTTTACGTGGTCTCAACGTATTCTCGTAGAATGGGAATTTATTGCCTCGAAATTTTCTATTTTATTCCCCACCTCTATTTTCTACTTTCCTAAAAACAATCAAACAAACCCCCCCCCAAAAATCAGCAAATATCTGCATACATAAATTGGCAGATGCATTTTCCTCAGCAGGTCATTCCCAAGCGTGGGTAACAGCAGGATCAGGACTCACTCCATCTCAAGTCAGACACTAACTTTGCTGCTGTTCCTCCTGCCATGCTCAATTGAAAATTGCAATTCTACTTGAAAAATCAAATTCCGTCATTTTTTTTTTGAAAGGAGCGTTTAACCAGTCAAAGCATTTCAGTTTCACAGCAATGTTCACTTGTAAATCGTAACGAGTAACCACAAACACTTGAAGTTCTTACCTGATATTTAGACCAATGAAGTTTGTCCATGTAAAAATATAGTCTCCTCCAAAAACCATCCCAATATAGGTTATTAAAATATTCTGAAACAGAACAAGATTTTAGGCACAAGAGTGTAAGTTTCCATGTTTTCTGCACTGATTCCACCGAAGAGAGGAGGCCGAATCCTCCTTGAAGAGCAGCTCACAGGTGGCAGGAAAACAACGCAAAGCTCGGCAGCGTTACGGTCTGTTTATGCGACCAGCTCGTTCGGTCTATGCACTAGGTGACCTGAAGGACCTTGGCTGTTTCCAGGCATTTGCAGTTCGTTAGCCCAGGACAAGCTACAAGTACTAAGCGCAGTTAGTGCCACGCACAGCTGCTTGGTGCTATCATGAGCAAACATAAGCAAAGCCAGATACAGATAATCCGGAGGCATTACACACACATGTTATCAGATACCATTGAACGGTGGTTTCTGCGGGCTGCTTGCACTACACCACCTTTCACTACCATGAGCACCAGCGCTGCGCCTCTGTGCTTCAGCACCGCTGACCCCGGGAACGCTCTGCGGAGCATTACTAACGCCAGAAACGCTAGCCATCCGAGCCTGACTTCGCTCTTGGCACGCCTCTACCGTATACACAGATATTTTTTTAGAACAGTCAGGTTAGGAAGTTAGCATCTTTAAGTTTAATATCTTATGTTACGTGAACTCCACAAAGCCTACTGCTTATCCCAAGATAGCCAAAGATCACATTAAAACCATCCTCCACTTTCCCTCCTGTGAATGCAGCATGTAGCAAAGGCCGCTAGAGCCTTCTTCAACCGCTTCAGCATTTGCTCTGTGAGATGCTGCAGAAGAGAAGCCAGGATATCTGCGCGCACGAAGCAGCACGTTCCCACCTCATGCATGACGACGGCAGGGCCGAGGCTGCGGCACATGCAAGAGCAAGGCAACAGCAGCAGTGCTGGAGGCAGGGCAGCACCTGGCCGTGAAAAGGCAAAGCAAGGAGGCTGTGACCGCCACCAGGGTTGCTCAAGGCTTTTGACACACGACAGCGCTGGGATGACATACGTAGACAGGGAGGACCCTATAGCGATGCTGTACGAGAGACGTGCAGAAGGGGAAGGCTTCCTGGATGCCTCGCCAGAGACAGCGCGTGCACGCGCCTGGCCAGCCCAGAGAAAAAGGCCTGGAGACCATGCAAAACTGAAGGACCGATGGTGCCAAGCTGCCATGCACGTCACAAAAATTCAATTTACTCACGCTCCAACGGCTAAAGCATCTGTTTAATAAGAGGTACAAGTAATTACTACAGCACTTGCCCCAGCAGTGACCTTCAGGGCAGAGAACACCACTTACCTTAATGCAGCCAACTATTGTAGTTGTAAGAGCAGAATTATACTGAGTGCAAAGAACCGTGGAGTACATCAAAATAAACCTGCAGGAGAAAGACTCGACATTCAGACTTCAAGACACATTTATTACACTGCAATTACTCTTTTAATCTCTTGCTCTCTTTCCTAGAGTATTTTTTGTGATGAAACCTGCACTGCAGCGGAGTAGGAAACACAGCTTTCAGAAATTTTGTCCTCATCGGGAATAAAGACTTTCCCCCCCTCCCAGAGCTGCTGAGGCCGCCAAAATATTTTTGTTTCAAGGGGAGCGCATATCCCCCCTGCTGAGCTGCAGATCTCACTGATGGTCTCCACCACTCGACAGAGAAGGGATCTGGAGGCCACCCAGCAGATGAGAGCCATGAGCAGCACTTTCAGGCTAATTCTTCAGATAAGCCCGAGGAAGAAATTTCTTTGCAGCAGCAGGTAACCATTCTTGCCAGCACTAGAATTAACTCTATTAGTGCTCTTAGTCAAGCTTTTCAGAAGAGTTAATTACTGGGCAAATGGAGATGACCCTTTTGCACAGGGGCTCCCCGCCACCTCGCCATCCCCGAGGGACCGCTCGCGCAAGGGCCAGCTTTAGCCTGGGCAGCCCCTGCCGCGGGGCTGGGGCGAAAGGCAGGGAAAACACTCCGCAGGGAGGGGGGGACAGCGAGGAGCAAATCCTTACCCCATTATACACGACAGCGTAAACTGTACGACGAAGAGTGTGTCCGCCCAGCCTTTGTACTCCATTGCCTGAAACGAACACAGCCAGCCTCAGAGGCGAGGGAAACGCGATAACCCACAGCCGAGAGAAGAACCCAACCCTGAACTGCAGCTGTCCCGGCTCAGCAGCAAAAAGCCAGCACAGGCTACCCTCGGCCATCCACCCACACCGGCATCACCTCCTGATCCACGGCCCCCAGCCCAGCATCCCAGCAGAGAGCAAAACCCTCCTGGAAAAAGTGGGGAATAAAGCCCAAGGAGCCCATACAAGGAAGAGGAGGCAGGAAAGGCGTTTCCTAGACGGCTACAATCCAGAATTACCGTCCTGGGAACCACAACGGTGTCAGTAAGACTGTGATAAGACCACAGTAAGACCACAGTTTAAAAGGTTGGCAGTGTTTTTATGAACCAGAACCACATGCAACACCGAGCATCTCATGGAAGCCGGTTCCAAGAGCATCCTAGTTTTCCAGCTACATCCAAGTTCAGAGCAAAGTAACTGAAACACAGGTAGACCCTGACAGGGCTCTGAAGCTGGCCTGGCTGTAATTCATAGAGCTGTAGACACTCTAGGACATTAGAAGTCGACATATGTTAAGAATTTGGGAGGGTAGGGGCGAACACTCAAAAAAGCACAGCTGTTGATATAACACTTCATTGCTTCTCAACGCAAGCAAAGCAGTAGAGAGGCTTGTGCTTGCTCTTGGGATCCGACCTCCGCACATTTCAGAAAGTTACCAGGGATGACATACAAGTGACATCCCTGTAGCAAACGCATCTGGCTGGCTGGTCAAAACTCTCCTTATGTCACTAGGAAAGCGTGAAGAACAAGAGGTGTTTTGGTTTCCCTATACCATGATATGGCTGAAAGGCTGTTTGCAACACTGGTGGGGCACACGCGCCATAAGCACGCTCCACAGCTTGGCTCACTGGGACCACAGGGGCTCCAAAGCCCTGTGTTATGCCACTGGGGGCTGGATGAGACTCCAAAGTCAGCACTGCCCAGCAAGGACAGACATTCTCCATCAACTTGCTGGGGAAAAGGATTAGTGAAGCAGTGAGGCTTATACATCAAGTTCAAGGGGACCTTAGCTCCTAGAGACGCTGCTGTATGCATTAGAAATGAAGTGGGAATTTTCATCTTGGGGGTTTTTGGTGGTGATGGTTTTTTCAGTGTCGCTGTTTGTTTTTTAAAGAAAGTTTACACTTAGTTCAGTTGAACTCAATTTTTTTTTTTTTTTAAACCAGTGTCACGTTTGTGGCTGACCTACAAAACTCCACCAACAGGAGATGCAGTTTGTAAGGGGGACAGGGAAGAAGGAAATGAGGCCAGAAGCGGGCGAAGGCTGGTCTAGTGCCTCATCTCCCCGCATGGCAGGGAACAATATCGTACGCAGAATACAACTGGAGAGTCGCAACGGGACTGTGCTGGAGAGAGAAAGCCTGCTAGGTGCCACCCCTGCCACTTCACAAATCCTACTCATCCACAGGAGAGACGTGGTATGAGCACAGCTCTGTAAGTGTCAGGAATTCTCCTTCAAACCAAGAGGAACAGCTTTGCTTTATCACTGTGAAAGACTTCACAGCTAGAAAGCTGCTATGAGAAAGTTACTGGAATTATTTGAGTCCCTTAAATATTTAGAAGTAGCCAAATCCATTAGCAGTGCACTAATCTGCTGAACGTCCTTAAACTGGTGCTTAAGCTTGCCTACTTGTGTTTGCCTCCATTTCATCTCTTTTGACTACTCGTTTGCCTACCTGACCTGCACTGCTGAGAGCTGGTTTTGCCGGGCGCGGAAGCACTGCACTGATGCTTGGCTTGGTTTAATCTTGTTAGTTGAAATCCGGCAGCACATGACATCTTGCCCTACTAGCACAGCGCTATTTAGCTCTAGCTTGCTTCTGCCTAGTGCAGGAATTTTCCATTTCAAAATAATTACCACACGTCCCCCTTTACACACTGTAAAGTAAGGTTAGATCGGAGGTCAAATTCTTTGAGTTTTTCCATGAACTCTAACACTGAATTTTTAGAAGAGCACATGAACAAGTTTCACACATCTTACATAACCACTAAAGGAACTTAAAAGCTTCTCAGCATACATCTTCCCTAACAGGAAGAGCAGCAATCCAGATGACAACAGCTGCATACCGAGTGACTTCGGGCATTTTATCAGTAGTCTGATGCCAGAAACTTCCTGATTGAGAAACCGTTTGACATGGAGCTTCCATACTAAGCACAGCAGCTGCACAAACCTGAAGATAATTCCGAAACTTGAACGCACAGCCCCTAACCGGAGCTGGAGAAGTATTCAGCACCGCACAGGTAAGGCGGTGAAGAGGTCTAATGAAATGCCAGGCTCCCCCAGCAACACTGCACAGTGCTCAAGCATTTCAGGGCCAGGCTTAGCATGTCTGCAGCTCATCTAAGCAGCAACCAGGTCTGCTGCTAGCGGTAGCTGAGCTCAGCCAAGATAGAGCAGACAGCGCGTGGGCTGCGAAATACACCCAGGATCCCATGTAAACTGCTGGCAGCCGGCCACAGGCGAGCAGAGGTCAGCACGGGCTGCAAAGTCTGGCAGAAGGAGCAAACCCATGCAAAGCAGAGGCAGGCAGAGCCGCGGCCAGGGTCCCTACACAACAGACTACTTGGAAGGGTGCTTTCTAACAGGGCATGAAACACAAGCCTGGAGGGGACTGGCCTGCAGGCCCTTTATAAACTCCCTTCACGATCATGATTATTATTTTGCTTGCATTCATCACCACAGTCATTTCCGCCTCTTGTAAAACGAGGCACGGCAAGATATCGTTACCTGTGATGCTTGTTAGTGAACTACTAGATTTAACAAATCTATAGGCTCTAGTGGTAGGGGAGCTTTTCCAAAGCAAAACTAGTAACGTTATCCCCTGCTCTGCAATCTTCTTGTCTGGCTGATGCCGCTGCACAAAGATGCAGCTCCTCCTGCACCTCTCTCCAGGACTGGCTGCCACCCCCTCCCCAGAGACCACGCTTTTTGCTCTCCTGCCTCGTTCTGTTAATCCAGGGAAGAATTTCCAACACACACTGTGGTTATATGCTTTGCAAGAGACAATTTAGCTACACACATTTCAAAAGACTGTTTTTCATAACGCTGCAAATGTTGAATTTCCTGGTAGTAAGTTCAACAGACACATCTTTGTTTGCTTTCAACTGCCAAGAGCTTGTTCGGGGCGGGGGGGGAAGAGAGAGAGAAGTTTATTCAGAAAAAAATGGTAAGAGGAGATTTCTATATGGGCTGAACAGAGGCTCCACAGTGCAGCACAGAGCAACATTCTGCTCCTTGTCCACCAGCTCCTGTTTATAAATGAGCACATTATCCCCAAATATATTCCAGCTGAGCCACCCACCATAAAGAGGAGGCTATCTTCTTAACCTACACTTGCTTCTCGTCACGTAATCGCAGCTCATTATCTTAGTGGTGGCTGACCAGAACTTGTCACCTTGACACTAAGCTCCTAATGAGGAAGACGCTGTTGGGACCGGTGCACAGCAAAGCACAAGCCCTCCCCGTCTAACACTCCAGGCATCACCTTGGACGCCCCGAGCAGGGACTGCTGCGACTGGCACTAGCACCAACAGCAGTTACCCATGTTAGTCTGGGTGGGCAACACGCAGCACCTCCCAATTTCAACAGTTTGTTGTTAAAGGGCTAAAGAGCTTCTTTTTCCAAGAGAAGTCAGCTTGTGCGGTTACGGAACGCGAATCCTCTTGTTGGTCAGTAGAAGAAATCAAGCATAATTGCACAAAAGTTAGCTCCAAGTCCACTCTTAAATTTTGAGTGTACTGAACTACAGATAAATGAGATACGCCGATGAGACAGTCTGGGCAAACCAGTGACCTTTAGAGCAAGTCAACATAAGTAAAAGGGAAAAACAGAAGGACGTCTGACAAGACTCATTTGTTCCAGAAGTACTAACTTTTGTTTTAAATAACGCTTGGTTTAATTTATTCTTCTCACACTTCTCCATTCCTCAAGCATTACGAAAATGCTTTAATGAAGCAATTCTGTGGATCTAAAGCAAGCAGAACTTGCATTAACTTTTTATTCCAATTTCACTTGTTCTCTCCTGTTTGCACACAACCTGTCCTCAGATCATCCTCTGCCCTAAACTGATCCAGTAGATGTTATCTAGTATTCGTTTACAAGTCGGGGATAATGAAGTATTTATCAATTTCACATTCTGAATATTTGCTATTTTATGTAAAAAAGGTAAGTTACAGAAAAGTATGTGTTAGCAAAACGTTCTTCTAAGCAATACAGAACGATACATTTTGCCCAAAAGGTATCGTGCCACTGAGTATTTTGCTTTTTTTGGGATAAGATTCCTACCTTTTGCGCATCTCCGGTGAAATAGGCAATGATCAAGGTGGGAAGTATCATAAACAGTGCATTGTAATATAGCAGACCATATTTCCCCAGCTCCTAGAAATAGGAAACATCTGTGCATTTAAGTTGGCTCTAAACAAAACACAGAACTTTATTCATGTTGCTACTGAAGACCAGGTCTCATGAGCTAAATCCATGCGGGATTCACAGAGACAGAGGAGTTGCAGGGTTTTTATAAAGCGGGAGACCATTTCTACAGCACTTTAGAACATTAGACCAAGTTCTGCTCGAGAGGCTCTTTGGAAACTGCATTGCTAACAAGTCCCCAGTTACTTCCTCCTAAAAGCAAAGGCACACAGTAAAATTTCACAGGCCCAAGATGACAATTTGGTCAGGAATTTAGAGACAAAAACCAAATAGTATTTGGTCATCTAATGTTTCTAGCAAATGCTTTCCATTGGCCACATCTCCAGACACCAGGGCAAACTGAGCCAAATAATTCAGGTGTACTAATTGCAACCAGACCCCCAATTCAGTGGGCTTCCCTGCACTGTGGCAAACAATTTGGGACTTTCCATGCCCGCAGCCAGAACATTCGGGCAGCCTTCGGAGAGGCACCCCAATGCCGAAACACAGCTTTCCCAGGAGGGTGCGGGAAACGGAAAAACGGCACCTACAGCAAACTTCACAACACACTGGATTTCCCCTCATAGTTTGTCTATGAGATAAGGCCAGAAATCAGACTAGGCCAGCAAGCTTGAAGCATTATCATGAACCAAAACGCAGTTTCTTGGCTGTCACAGTGGAGTGCAATCATACCCAGGGGCTCACAACAGCCACAGCCAGCACCGTTTGGCAATACCAACACCAAGAACAGCACAGCAGTATTACCAAATCTTTTGGACAAGAGATTTCGAGAGAGGGATGGGGGTGGCAGTGCTCTGGGACCACAGAAATTGCAATGATATCACTTCCTAGCAGTTTCGGGTTCTTCCAGCATTAGGCCTATGTAGAACGGCAATGGCAGCGCTAGGCAACGCACCCAGAACAAGAAACACAACGGCATGTTTAGTTTGGAATACTATTTCTTCTCCAGCTCCTACTGCAGAAGTGCACTGAGGATATGAATTAAAAAAATAATAGTAAGTCCTTCACTGTTCACGCAATCTTCTTCCTCTTACACAACAAAACCATGCCGCTCTTAAGAAATAAAGAATGAGACCATGAAAGCCATTTGAAGCCACAGCCCCTGTATTCACCATGACACCAAATTATAACTTCTAGTGTTAAAATCCATGAAAGCGTACTTTTAGTTAAAGTGGGAAAGAATGGCATGTTTAGCCTCCGAACGGGAGGCACCAGGGAACACGGAGCACCTTAAAGCATCTGAGCAGGCATGCAACATGGTGGCTCAGCCCACCGAAGCTGAGTATTACCCCTTCCCACCCAAGGCTGCACCCGCTGGGCCGCACCAGTCCCACTGCTGGTGAGCCCAGGTGCAAACACCAGCACGCAACGGGAGAGTTATGTCAAAAAAGTGCAATACTGAAACGCCAGACACGAAAGTGAACGTCAGCCTACCTTTGAATCCAGCTTCTGTTTTACATAGGCACCATTTGCAGCTGTTAAGGCATCGTTAATAAGGATAAAAATATATCCTTCCAAATCAAATGCCAAGTCAGCACTAGGAAAGGAAAAAAATAAGTAAGATTTTTTTAAACTGTGCAGACTGTGACACTTGAAAGGTTTTTTCCACCTTTTGTCAGAAAGAGTTAATCATGCAAGGAAGGACTGGGATCCGAGTCTGGAAAACATTCTTTCCTATTACAGAGTATGTCTGAAAGGGGGAGCGGGGAAGCCATCATTTACTCACGCTCTTCTTGGGACATAATGTGATACTCTCTTCACCTTATCCCAGTGAAGAAATTCAAAGCTTTGCTCTAGCAATTTTCATCAAAGGATCACAAGATATTTTTAAGAGAGCTTCAGCTATTTTGTTAACAGCACATACACCAGAACACGCTGCCAAGATTTCACCACTGAAAGGCCTCCGAGTATTACATTTTAGTGAGTTTTCAGCAGCTTTGTTGGCTAGCCAGCACACGGGCCATTTCAGAGACACCGAACAAAGCAGCAAGTAATAAAGCTGAAAGGATAATAAATCTGAAGGCTTACCTAGCAGCTACAAACGCACCAATTATCATTGCAAATACTGTCATCTGAATACTCCAAGAAAATTTCTTCCTGACAAAAAAATACAAACAAGAACACTGCTATCATTCATAAACGCAGTTAAGTCATCATTAAAGTATTCCAAGCAGGTAGGGGAAAGCATTTAGTCACATCACATACTGGGTGGGCGGTAGGGAAAACGTAACAGAAACAGCAAATAAAAACAAAATTTTTAGACAATTATCTTTGTGTGTAGGGTGTGTTTTTTGGGGATTTTTTGTTTTTGTTTTTTATTAAGGTTAGCACTGATGAGGTGCAAGTTTGAGTGCTACAACTCTACCTACCACAAGAAGGATTCAGCCCAGCACCGCTGCGCTCGCAGCGGCGTTTGCTGTCGGGACAAGCCCGGGCATCGCAGCAGCGGCGTGGGGACGGACTGGGGCACCCAGCTAGGTGCCCCACGAAGCGCTGCCAACATACACAACACCCTCTGCTGCTGGGAATTAACTGCGCCCAGCATGTGGCACGCAGCACGTGCACACAGCACACATCAAACTCGCACCGCTGCAAGAACAGGGAGAGCACAACCACGTTCCCCTTTGCTTCGCAGTTACATATCGCACTTCATCTCACCCATCTCTTTTTCGGCTAAGGAAAAGATCGTGCAAATCAAGGTAGGTTACTGTAATAAATAACACATTACTGCATATCCATTTCCTCTACCGACCCACATTTCTAAAACCTAGCTTAGAGCCAAAAGAGCCTGACGCGCAAAAGCTTTCTAAAATATGGCATGCCATTTCAACATCTTAAGACTTTCATAACTACAGACAGTATCTTTCATTGATAGTTTTGGAAAAAAGTTGGAAAGACTCACTTGAGTAAAAATCCTTCAGCAAACATTGTAAACAGGATGGAGAACCTTCGCAGGACTGTAAACATTGGCAGGCTGCAAAGAGGAGATTTAAGATAAAAGGGTTTCCCTCCCAGTGCTACAACAATGCAACTTAACAGTCCACAGTTGCTCCTGCAGCAACACCTTGAATTCGTGCCAAGGTAGAGACCAGACAGCAAAAAGTCCTCAGGAGGAAATCACCATCTCCCACCAAACTCCCATAAGCAGGTTCCTTATTCCCCAAAGCAATAATTTGAAATTGTAAGATTTAAGCCTTCGGCCTGTAGAAGGCAATCACGTCACACACTGCTGACCGTGTTTACCTCGAGATACCGCTGCAGATATTACACATAAGCGAGGAGCACAGACCGCACTGTGCTCTCCCAAAGCAAGGTCTCCTCCAGCTGGGGGTTATACACAGCCTCCCTCCCCACCCTGAATCCTCTGCATACCAAACCTCCTCCATTCCAGGGAGGCCTTTGCTTCAAAGCCAGGGATTTGGGGCCAGATGGGGCACCTCGTGAGCCTGGCGGAGCGAGGAAACCCCCAGGCGAGGCGGTGGGACCCACCTGCAGCCACTCAGGCTTGCAGCAGTTATCCCCCAGCAGTGCCACAGGCACGAGACATTAGTGCATATAGGTGATGCTCATCACAACATTATAGCCCCCTCCAATAGATAAAAGTAATCCATACTTCAGTTTCTTTGTGCTGAACAGTCCTGTGATCTGGTTCCCAAAGTACAGAAGAGGTAGAGGAAACGTCTGGAAAATTTTAAGACGGATAACACTTAGTGAACAATTGAAGGCAGAGAGAGAACTAACCAAAAAGTAACAATAATTATATGTATAATTTATACATATATATAATTCTTTCCATCCTGAAATGGAAATTTTCACATACACACATATTCAGGTTCCCCAGCGCGCACAGCACAGCTCTGACACGGTCAGAGGTTTCCCATACAGAATCGGCGTTACCAGGGCAATGAGCACAAACATCGTGCGCACACACATGCCCCTTTGCTGAAAGACGCGTTTCATGTCGTGCAAGAAACAGGTTCCCCAGCGCGCACAGCACAGCTCTGACACGGTCAGAGGTTTCCCATACAGAATCGGCGTTACCAGGGCAATGAGCACAAACATCGTGCGCACACACATGCCCCTTTGCTGAAAGACGCGTTTCATGTCGTGCAAGAAACCTTTGCAGAACAACAGGAATTCTGCTCTTGGAGAGAACAGCCCCTGCCGGGAAAGGGCCAGGCGCCCCACGCGTTGCACCCAGCCGGCCGGCACGTCCCGGCCGCAGGCAGCCCCGCGCGCCTCCC